CACACAGAAGTAGTGTTGTCAACCAAAATAACTATTACAGCCATGTTTAAAGCCACCGCAAGTCTTATAGACACACAAATTGTTACATATATATATATATACAGTATATAGCCTATATGTGTGTGTGTGTGTGTGTGTGAATCAGCATTAAAAGCCTGAAAAAATGCGACATAATCAAACCTGAAATCAAATTATATCAACCCCTTTAATTAATAAAATCAAAGGTAATGTATTTACTATAGAAGAAATAATGCAGCTTACTGTCTCAGTTTATGACAATCTGCATAATCTTGCAATTCCCAGCCCATCACACAAATGAACACACACTTGCACAGCTAACTAAAGTTGATTAGTTAGTGACCCAAAAAAAACAAGACATTTATGAAGCTTATCTCACAGCTGTGATGTTGCCTGGACAGATGCCACATAAAACAACAATAAATACCAGGAAAATTTAAAATAACTCTTGAATTTGACGAAATGAACACTTTTACGTGATCTTAAATGGTTGGAAAAATGATAACGTTGCCAGGTTATAAACAGTCTTCAGTAAAATTAATTACTGAAAAACATAAAGCTAAATAATATTACATTATATATTACAAATACATTAAATATATTTAAATAAATATTTATATAATTTATTTCGCAAGTCTTATAGACACACAAATTGTTACATATATATATATATATACAGTATATAGCCTATATGTGTGTGTGTGTGTGTGTGTGTGTGTGTGTGTCTGTGAATCAGCATTAAAAGCCTGAAAAAATGCGACATAATCAAACCTGAAATCAAATTATATCAACCCCTTTAATTAATAAAATCAAAGGTAATTTATTTACTATAGAAGAAATAATGCAGCTTACTGTCTCAGTTTATGACAATCTGCATAATCTTGCAATTCCCAGCCCATCACACAAATGAACACACACTTGCACAGCTAACTAAAGTTGATTAGTTAGTGACCCAAAAAAAATATGACATTTATGAAGCTTATCTCACAGCTGTGATGTTGCCTGGACAGATGCCACATAAAACAACAATAAATATCAGGAAAAATATAAAATAACTCTTGAATTTGACGAAATGAACACTTTTACGTGATCTTAAATGGTTGGAAAAATGATAATGTTGCCAAGTTATAAACAGTAATTTAAAGCAAACTACAAAATAAAAAGCTACAGTGCCTTTATCCATTATAAGCCTTGCATATTCATAATTTAAAATGTTAAATTTTTCAAGGCGTGCTAAGATGTGAAGAATTATAAATGATGAAAAGTGAAATCAAGTTCAGCTGTGAACACCTGAAAAGAGCTCTGAAATGTCGTGATATGATATATTAGCAACAGAGGGATGAGTTTGTGCAACGTGTTTTTATTTATTTTATTATTTATTTTTTGTGGACTTGAGGCCAACCTGGACCTGTGTTATTAGAGAGCGGAGGATAAGCGCATGCAAGCCTTGGGTCAAACTCATTGTCAAGTCAAATCATACGGCAATACGTTTCTGAGCTCAGCTGCAGAAAAAAAGCCATCATAAATATTCAAGCAAAACATGAGATATTTTGTTTGCTCCAGTGCTCTCTGTGCCGAAACTGACAGAAACACGAACAGCAGCCCATGTAGTCAGCCATAAATGATTGAGAAGCATCGTATTGTATCGGGGCAAACGGCAGAAACTCTCTTGGCCTTGCATAATCCACTCGTGGACGAGTTATCCTCCAGTTATCAGACTGACGGCCAAAACGTGAGAGAATAGTAGATCAGAGAGAAAGATCCACAGCAGGAGAACGAGAGAGGAGTAAACGGAAACACCCAAGCTGCAAAAGATTATGAAAGAGCAAGATGTTTCATCAAAAGAACCATATTTTGAAAAAGCAATTGTATTCTACCCAGCACACACTCCACATATGCGTAACGTAAAAACACACAACGGTTTCCGCCAAGTGTTGTTATTCTCCAAGGGTTTGTGAGCACATTAATAAATTGTGTGGTGGTTACATTTATAAGTTAAGGCAACAAATCACACTATTAACTAGTTGCTCATTAGCATGCATATTACTAGCACATTAGCTGTTTATTAGTAGTTATAAAGCACATATTAATGTCTTATTCTGCATGAGCATATTTTAGATCCCTTAATCCACCCCATACCTAAACTAACAACTACCTTACTAACTATTAATAAGCAGCAAATTAGGAGTTTATGAAGGCAAAAGTCATAGTTTACAATTAGTTGGACCTTAAAATAAAGTGTGACCAAGATGCAGTGATTTTATTTGCCCTCACGTCTTCCAAACCTATATGACATCATTTTATATTATTAACAATTTCTGTTTTAAAGTAACAAAAACAAAAATGAACTCTCCAAGGGTTTGTGAGCACATTAATAAATTGTGTGGTGGTTACATTTATAAGTTAAGGCAACAAATCACACTATTAACTAGTTGCTCATTAGCATGCATATTACTAGCACATTAGCTGTTTATTAGTAGTTATAAAGCACATATTAATGTCTTATTCTGCATGAGCATATTTTAGATCCCTTAATCCACCCCATACCTAAACTAACAACTACCTTACTAACTATTAATAAGCAGCAAATTAGGAGTTTATTAAGGCAAAAGTCATAGTTTACAATTAGTTGGACCTTAAAATAAAGTGTGACCAAGATGCAGTGATTTTATTTGCCCTCACGTCTTCCAAACCTATATGACATCATTTTATATTATTAACAATTTCTGTTTTAAAGTAACAAAAACAAAAATGAATTCGTTCAAGAAACCTGTTCGTGAAATGTTTGTATAGATGATCCATGAATTAATTGTGTCCAGTCGTGCATTAATTACCTTAAGCTCCAGATTGGTTCAGCTTTCACTGCATCACTCTTTTCTGTTCAACACACATTACGTCACACAGACATGCCATCATAATTTTTTGCAGGGAATAATGGCATTTGTGTGGTTGGTTGCGCCATTCAAAGCCACTTAACTCCATTGTTTCTATGTCATTGAGCCCGACTTAGCAAATTAGCTTTTGCTAACATTCCTGTCAGGGCTCTTACATCACTGCATTTGAATCGCTCCGCTAGCTGCGGACAACGTGCATGAGGAGAAGGAAGAGCAATGCTGTTCAGCTAATTCTAGTCATCATACTGAACGCTGTTTTACGGCTTTTTAGCTGAAATGCAGCCTCTTAAATGGCTGTAACTTCCTTTGCAATGCACATAGGAGACATTGCTGTTAGCGTGTTGCTTAGTTAATGCAATAATCTAATACTAATGCATATGCACATAATGGTCACCCAAATAATGGGTTAAAAAGTCATTAGAGTGCATTAGTACCTGCCCACTTTTTTTTGGTGGCGTTGATTCTGGTATGTGTTCCATTCATTTTTTCCCATAGGGATTGGTTAAAGTGAACTAAACCAACCTGTAACAATGTGATAAATCACAGCAGCATTACATAGCATCATTTTTATTTAAAGCAAGATTTGAAAATTGGACAAAACGACAAAGGTACAAGACTGTGAACTAATAAGAGGAAGAACTACAATCCCCTGAAGCATTGAAAATGACACAACTGAAATAGAAATGATGGTGAAATGCAAAAATTATTTACGTATTTGAAGTTATTGCTTGTTTCTATAGAAACAATGTATTTAAATGTTATTGCAAAATATGCATATAAATCCAATGGAGTTTTTACTTCTGGAACCCGATTGTTGTTCTCTATTAGTCTGAGCATTTTTTTAAACCTCGCAGAATTGATGAAGAATTAAAAAGTGTATTTATAATACCGTTAAACACATTTTTTTATAAAAGTTTTGTTTCGCTTTTACTTCTAAGGTTTCTTTATGAAGTTTTACATGCTGAATGCTGAACGTATCTGTACTGAACCAATGTTTCATAATTAATGATTTAAATTCTAAAATTTGTTAATAATTAATAATTAGCGCCACAGAATTACAGAAGAGAACCATACAACTTTTAAGTGAACTTGTTGTGTAATCACTTTGGAACGTTTCTTTCTTTGGCTGCAATTTTCACTGCGCTTGTCAAAATCGATTATGGGATTGACACATGTGATGCTGCCTTAGAAATCACATAAATTACAGTATCTTAGAAGAGTTTTGGAACAGCCTTTAAGTTCTGTGTGTTTCGAGTATAATGCCTAAAAATGCTGCCCAGTTAGGCAACTCACAAAGCGTTTAGAACAGTGTCTCTGACTCTTACTTATTTCATGACTTGCAAGTTTGGAAAACAGTCGTGCTGTTTGCGTGCATGAGGACAAATGGAAATTCAGAAAATTGCCTCCCATGAAAGCATTATGGAAATTAATAAGGATTAAAAAATAAATAACCTGCAGATGGGATGCACTTCAATAGTGTCTGAACTGTTCTAAACCAGGGCTGGTCTGCCTAAAAAAGAATGAAAAAAAAAGATAAAACGCTCACCCCTGAGTGTCAAAGGGGTGCCAAAAGGCCCTCTAGTTATATATC